GATAACTTATTATACATGTAAGTCTATTTATCAACTTGATGCACATATCTATAAGATTAATAGTGTACAATTAACATCTAAAATATTAAAAACTAAACAAAATCTTAAACATTAATGAAAATTAGCAAAATTTCCAAGTTGCACCATTTTTGTTATTTTGAATTTAATGCCAAAAGATCTCATTTCAATAAGGTATTTATTAGATGTATAACAAGCATTGTTCAAGAATGCAATTTTACTTTATATTTCCTCATCTTTAATGTTTGGAAGATTAAATTCCAAAGTTACATAAAGTTTTTTCCAGGCATATTTGCAAAAAGTAGGATTTTCAAATCATACCCCCGTTGTTTTAAACAGTGAAGGGTGTGTAATACCATAGAAGAATTCCGTGAAATAAACTCATTTTCAGACTTTAATTTTACTTTAGATGAACAAAAATAACATAGACTCTTCATAATAAAAGATTTTTTTTTTCAAAAGTTACAATGAACTAGTAAAATTTACAGATTAAAATGTGTTACTCAATGTTAGTTGTGTATTTCTTATAAAAAACAATTTTATTTTTTTTAATTAAAAAAAGAAGAGTGTCACTGGGTTACAAATTACTTTGATAAGAAATTACTTTAATCACATTTTTTACAAAAATAAAATACATAAAATATTATTTTCCAGGATATTTGTGAACAATTAAGCATTTACTACATGTACCCCTACCTGCAATTTTAGTATCCGTTTGCTGATACACAACTTTTCATTCTCAACACCGTTCGTATGATTATGCCATACAATGTTCTTATATATTGATAAGTCTAGAGTATAAAGCAACATAAATAAATTCTTAACAATGTCCTTGACCTTTTATCTTTGACAAAAAAATCCATATTTATACAAGAACAAGTCTGGGAGATAAAAAAAATATACATGTAATCTTGTTATTATGTTATCTGAAAAAATATGGAATTTTTTTATTCATATGTACAGGGAATTGCGAAAATCATGAAAATAAAATCAAACTAAAATATAAATATTTATTAATATTTATTATGATAATACCACCCTCCCCAACGAATTCTTCTCTATAAAATAAATAACTATAGATTTGAAAACCAAATGGTTTTCCCTATTTTGAAAAAAAAAGCTAAAAGTAAAAATAATTTAGTTCTGAATAATTTATTCCTGTCTCAAGATGGGACGTATTATGTTATAGGCTTCATGTCAGTGTCCGTCTGTCCATTCCTGTCTGACTCATAACTAGAATACTATTAGGCCTAGGATTGTCAAACTTTGTCAACTGATACTTCTTGGGAAGACGGTGTGTAGCGCATGAAAAGTAGGTTGCGTTGACCTTTAATAAAGATGCCATAGCCAAATATGGAAAAATCCTGTCCGGCTCATAAGTAGAAAACTATTAGACCTTGGCAAAAGTATACATCTATTGTAGAAGGTGCATCACGGCCTATTTCAAGGTCACTGTGAATTTTAATTAAAGAGAAATTTTGTAAAAAAGAAAAAAAATTAATCTTTTAAATTCTAAATTTCATTATCCTAAAAAATGTAAAAAATTATAGTTGTATCCTTATTAAAAGATGTTAAATTGAGTAAAAAACTTATTTTTTCATTATATACTTTACAGCAATCTGTAACAAATGTTTATGTCTCTGACCTTTAATAAAGATGCTATAGCCAAATATGGAAAAATCCTGTCCGGCTCATAACTAGAAAACTATGAGACCTAGAGCTTTCAAACTTGGCAAAAGTATACAGCTAAAGTAGAAGGTGTGTCGTGGCCTATTTCAAGGTCACTGTGACCTTTGATTTAAATAATTATTTTTTTTAAAACTAAGTCTTTAATTTTAAACTTCATAATCGTAAAAATTGTAAAAATATAGTTGTATCCTTATTTAAAAATGTTAAATTAAGTAAAAACTTATTTTTTCATTGTATACTTTACAGCAATCTGTAAATGTTTATGCTTTGAGAGGAATTCAGTTTGTCCCATAGGCATGATTATCAAGCACTGGTCAAGAAAAATTTTGATAGCAGAAACTTGTATGTCAAATTAGAGAGAAATTAATGAGTTTATTGTCAGGAGCTTTGAGCGTCCCTAGATCTTATGCAGAGTTATCTTTTGGGAGTTAGGCAAAAAGATATGGCCTCATAGTTGCTTGTGTTAATTTAGAGTTCTTGATGGGAATAGCTAGAAGACACCCTTGATGGCTAGTCCAGATAAAGATCTTTCAATTGGTGTAATTAATCAAAACAAATTGATGTTTAGTGTGCATGTATGATTAAAACTAAATTAGTATTGTACATAATGATTAAAACTAATTATACATGTACATTGAAAAAAAAAATTATAATTCAATTTTTATACACATTTGCAACACTTAAAATTTTATAGTCTGAAGAATAATTTACGTTTGATTTTTTTTCATTAGACTGTAACATTTCCATTATTTCGTAAAATATGCAATAAACAATTTAAAGCTGCAGATGGATATTTGTTATGCTCCAACACACCAGTTTAGAATTTTATGATGTATTAAATTATTTATTATAATCAATCCCTACACTGTAAAGTCCCTTAGAGATGTATTATAAGAAATGGAAATTAGATAATTGAAAATTGTGTCACTCTGTTAAACAAGGCTAACTGATTTTCTTTCATCCTAACCAATTCATGATTATTGAACAATGTTTGACGGGTGTATCATGCTGTGGCGGGGGCTTATTTATTTATTAATTTCCTCTCTGTTACAGTTATTTTATGAACCTTAATGAACCAGGAAGATTTTTTTTTCCACTTGGTCACAACCTTAATTAGTACACAGTCTGTACTTATTCAACAAGAAACATCTTTTATGTTCATGGTTTCGCACAGAAAATAATTTTTTTTTTCATCAGAGAAAAATTGGGATTTTTTTTTATTGCAGGGAAATTTTTTTATGCAAACAAATGTACACGATTGAACACATGAACCAATCTAGAGCTGTAGTCGCTGTCTATTTTATGATTAAATGTAGATGCAAACTTCGTAACATTATATGTAAATGTTTCTTTACTATGTTCAGTGAAAAACAACTAGAAATAACAAAAATCTGTTAATAAATTACATAGTTCTGTCAAAGAAATAAAACTTAACCTCATTTTCTTCACACATCAAAAGATGCGTGCTATTTTTAGAACTTAAAAAAAACCCAAGTATGTATTTTCTATGAAAAGAACGATTATGAAGCAATTTGTCTAAAAAAAAACTACCGAATCATGCTTTGCAATAAGAAAAAAAAAGTATTTTTGTAAATTTTCTACATTCAAACAAGTTTTATAAATGTATTACAATGTATGCATCTTTTACCATTGGCACAAGTTTGTACAAGGTTACTAGGCTCATCAGTAAAAAAAAACTTTTGAAGGAATAATTTTAAGCAAATGAGAAATGATTTTAAGGAAGGTCCAGATCTTGATTTAATTTCACCACTTTCTGATTATCACTTGTCTTTTGAAATAGAATCTTTTTGGACGTTTGAAAATAATTTAGCAAATATACATTTGTTTGTAGTAGCATTTTGCATATAAAATAAATACTTGAGTTTCGAGATTGTCATTCTCCTAGGATAGAGACGCAAACAGTATCCATTTCAGAATGGAAGTGGGACAGGTTGTTTCCGTATACAAACATGCATAAATAAATGAATGATGTTTACGGCATTTAAAATTTATTTAATGTTATAGAAAGAATGGTACATTTAATGATTTTATCAAGCTTAACTATATTTATTTACAAATCTACTTTCAATAATAGGGTACATGTTCTTGAAAAGCAGAAAACGAAAGAGACGTTGTTGTATTATTGTGTAATATTTTTCTTTAATTGAAATATTTTTTTTTTTCAGTAAAATTGTATTCTAGCGCCTCAATATTGCATAGATCTTCTGCATAGTATTCTTTCTAATTGCTTCCAAGTACTGTCACTTCCACAATAAAACCCCATTGTAATCTTTTTCTCATAACGTACAAGTGATTTCATATTAGAGGGAAAAATTTCTCTTTTGGACAAATGGTAGTAAAAAGTGACACCGGCACCTATGTTTTGTTAATGTCCATATATATATATTCATAACTTCATGTGTTTGTACGTCTCAATATTGCTTTAAATAGGGATACTGGAACATTCTTACATGTTTGGGATCTTTAAAGGCAGTTTTTTTTTAATTTCACTTGAATTAAAGGTCACGGTGACCTTGAAATACATGAGACACTCTGCCTCCCAAGATACATAAACTTGTGAAGTTTGATGATTGCAAGTCTAATAGTTTTCCAAACAAAAAAAGGAAACAAACCTGTAAAATGCAGAAAAATCATCCAATCAAGATGAAAATACCATAGGACCTAATCATGTATTTCTGAAAGCTTGTCTATTCCCTAATTTCAAAGTGGGAAAATGAGTCATATAGCATAATTTGGGTGAATTGTTGTAATTTAAAGGAAGGTCAGACAATTTTTAGTGGTTCTCTGATATTTGTTTTATATTTTTAAAAGATTTCTTGAAGTTAAAATATGACCATGATGTCAGTCAAAATTTTAGCAAGAATAACAAAATAACCGCCCCCCCCCCCCCCTTTACGCTATTTTCCAAGAGCCCGGGGCAGCTAATAGGGATTATACTGTAATTTTTATTGTAAAGCATAAGAAATGTAATTTAATCATGTCATGTTATATATGTTCCATTTCTGTCATGATGGCAGTAGGAACAAATTTGATGGGACAATCGGAGTACATAAAACTATTAATTTTTTTATTGTTGGCCTTAAGGATGTTCATATCTAAGAATGAAAAGGGTAGAACTTTATAATTTAACATAAGATGTTCCAAAAGGTAGTTTCCAAAAAATCTTTGTTTAATACACATAAAGAAGAGAGCACCGCATATAATATGGTGTCAATCAGCAGCCTAAATGAAGTTGAAAATGCTGTATTTTAAACTTAGTCAATTCTTTGTAGATAAACGTACACACAAGTTTGCGCTTGTGTTGTTTGATTTTGATGGTTACACTGCTGTAGTGGAGTCAAAACGTCTTGAAGGATATGATGGTGTACTGGAACGTTCTGTGAAGTGCAGGATTTATTATGAATGCAAGTTCTATTCTGTGGAAGTTCTGGATTTAACAGGTAAGGGCCATCTATTACTTAGCTGTCAAAAACTTAAGTGTCATTGCATATACACATATCCAAAATCTTATCCATGTTATTTACTTTCAAAAAAGATCATTTTTTTTTGTCAAAATCAGAATTTCCTTCAATCCTCTGTCAATAGTAAACACATTTAGTCTGTCATGGAGTTCAATGCCCACTGAGATAATGTGAATATGATTTAAATTTACTTTTATTTTGAATTCCTATCATAACTTCTGTGAGAATTAAACCATTTTCTTTTGAATTACATCATGAAAAACACATATCACATATATTGTAGTAAATTCTTAAATTTATTCGGACTGATAGAATATGTTTTGGACTGGTAAAACACATTAATTTAAGGACATTGGCAAGGTTCCTGGCTTTAGTATAGAATTTTTGAAGAATTCATGATCAGGTGTAATGGTATGAAACATTTTATATTCTGGTATATTTAACCCACCAAGCCACCTTCCCTTTTAAGATTTTGTCAAATCAATGTTTTTACAGTTCTCAATGCATTTCCTATGTAAAATGTTCATAAAAAGTACCTACATAATTTTTTACCATAAATTTTTTCCAAAACCCATTTATTTCAGAATGTTTATGTAATATATACATTATTGTATCCTCATTTTGAATGATATCTATAGATACCATGACTGAAAATGTAAATTTAGAAACATGACACATATCTGCCAACACTGTTCCTTATTTTAGAGTTACTTATAATGGCTTAAATTATAATAGTGGTTATGGGATGTGTGCAATTTATAGAAATTTTACAAACGTATACTTCAATTTTACTTAGATGAGATTTTAAGGAAAATTTTTATATTGATATTTTAATTTTCACCAAAAAATAAGATCGTAGTAACACGCACTGTGAGACTCGAACTCACAATCACTTTGTCTTCAATCCATCAATCATATCACAACTCCACCAAATCTTGGTAATCAAGTGGATTGAATTAAGACAGATTTTTGAATTTTGAAATAATTTTAGAAGAAAAATTAAATACATATTTTCAACATTTTCAATATGAAGACAACCTTTAACCAGAAATATCTAAACATAATGAAGTGCAGTCATACCCAAATAAAATTATTCAGAAGTTGTTTTTCTGGTTAAGGTCAGACGACACATTCCTCAAATATGTGTTGTGTATTGCTTCGTTTATATAAAAAATAGTCATATTTGTCATTCTCTTCTGATTTCTACATTTTTTTCAAAATGTTTTTAAGTATAAGTACACCAAAATGGTGATATTGGCATTACCCATAAGGAATATTTAAGAAATATGACCCTGTGGTGTCTTGTCCAAATGCCTGGTAAGGTACTCTAATTTTTTTTTTAGGAAACTTGTTTAGGTACCAACACTTCAATGACAAATTTCTAGGAAAAATTATATATTTTTTAGAAACGTTTCATCTGACCTTAAGGGTGGTTTTTAGCTACAGTTTGTCATTGTTTAGGGGGGAACCTCAGTATTTACTATATTCTCCATATAAACTGAACGATTTTTATAACTATCATATGAGGGATCTATTAATAATTGGGTATTATTTTTGTGTGAGTTGCTTAAGACTCGTATAAACTAACATTGTAAGACAAAATTTTGGTTAAACAATGTTTTTAAAATCACTACTAGAGTAGGTTAAAGTGATGATCAAATGCGCCATGGCTCTTTTACAGGTTTTTAAATGTACAAATATAGTAAGAATTAGCAGCACATGAAAAATTCCCATTATACAATATTGGCAGACAAAATCTTTTAACAATTTGTTATCATCTTTAAGCGTGAGGAAGACTTGGTACTTAAACTAAAAAGTCAATATCTATATGTAGTATTTATATACCTTAGAAACAGAGGAAGATGCAAATCGAAGAGATACCCAGTGGGGGAGATCTCATCGGGCCAGAACAATTGGAAGGGAAAGGGATAGCAGGGAGGAAGAGAATTCTCGACACACGAAATATGGTGGATACCTTAATGTTTGGCCAGATGATGCTGTTTTAGAGGTGTGCATTTCTTGTTTGGTTATAAAATTTTCCTTGTAAAATGACTGATACATAAACATGCTTAAAAATATATACAAGATGATTCTAGCAGTATAGCCTTTACATTAAAATATATTGGAATAATTCTTTTTAGTACATTTATTTAAAAAAAAATCATTTTCTATGGTCCATTTCTTAGATGAAAAAAGAAAACTCTATTCATTTCTCTTTCGTAGCTTGAATCTGAAAGCAATAACTCAGTATGCAGTGACAGTGGAGTTGATGCAAGAACTGAAAAGGTACCTGAAATATGAGTATATTAAAGAAAACGGAAAAGTTCTCAAGTATTTATGTGTAATGTAATTGATGAAAAGTACTTCTGAAAGAAAGTATATTATTTGTATTTTACTAATTTTTCTTCACTATTCTTGATAATGGAAAGAGTACTTCTTATAGAGCAACTTAGAAGCCCTATTAACCTCCTCTGTCCTCATAAGCACCCC